TTCCCTGGGGTTCTAAATCACCTCTGCGTTCAGCATTACGACACACGTTGATCACATTGCTCAATGTGTAACTACAAAGCATTATTACAAGAGTGCAATACAAAAAATAAGAGTTAAATAGTAAAGTGTTTGGCTTTTGTACTTGCTCTGTGACTGTGAATGGGTAACTTTGGTATTACCGAACTCTTAACTAACGAACCTGTTGTAAAAATCAATGTTTCTGTTTTGTACTGAGATTTTCTCCAATATACGGTCCTCTGTTATGTTTTTCTAACAGTGTACTTCTCTAGAAGTACTGGAAGCATTGTATGATACCAGTCTGTACAAAAAATGTCAATTTAAGATTCTTTTTGTACTCTGGGATCTGCTGCTTTCCAGCATTGCTTGCTTTAAGCCAGTATTATTTTTTTTTTCATTGTTAGCCTTGTTTATCACTTGGAAATTTACTGGTACAACTTAGAAAAGTCTGAAACCCGACTGCCCAAGTGCAAGGCCTGTACCTAACTGGTATTGGTGCATGCAAAGCTGACAGGTATACCCTGCTCAGGTCAGGCGGAATGCAGCCGGCTCTGTTGTTGCCAGTAGCCTTCCACGGCACCATATTGCACTATATAGGTAGAATTACTATTTTCTTTGTGTTATAGAGCACAAGTTGCAAAGCCAAGAGGCTAATTGTATGGTCTACTTACTAATATTTGAAAAATGTGAATCATCATCTTGTTGTAGGTAGATTCCTGGCAGGGAAGTAATGCTGGAGATAGTTAATCCCTCTGGAAATCAAAATAGGTGGATTTATTAGTTTTATTTCAGGTACCCTGACTTATGTGTGTCCTAATGCAGTAACTAAACTTTTTAGCTGAACAACGCTCTAGCTGAAAACTTCATTATTTTTACGGACTAACATTTTTCTGTGTACTTTGTGTACTTCTGCTGTAACACAGGGCACTGCATAGGACACTTCTAACTGTGGTAATATACTGAGGATAATTATGGCAAATTTTTGATAGTGGTGAGCAAACTTGTTCAAACCATGGGCAAAACTGAGATTTGGTTTGTTGTTTAGTCCTCTAACATGCTTACTCTGATATAAAAGGACCATGTATTTTAAACCTCATTCGAGAGCTAATATAAGTATTAAGAAATCTGGGCAAAATTAACTGTCTGCCTCTCTGAAATTTGGGATTATGATATTGTTGAACATACTTTGATCTATCCTAATCCAGTACTTGGGTTAAACAAAGAAAATGTTACAGATGCAGAAACAGATGGACAGTAGCATGGTGATGAGCATATTCTCATGGGTAAAAAGAGAGAATTGTGAAGAACTAGAAAATATGGTGAAGTTAAAACTTTGAATTTCAGAGTCTTTTTTTTCTTTTCCTGAAGTATGAAGAGAAGTCTCCTCAGATTGCCTTCTTCAAACTACTTAGGCTGACTTCACAGACCCTTTGTATCTACATCCTGCATTGAGATATGTGGGTTGTTTTCGTTTGGTTTTTGTTTTTTCTTTCTGTGAGTGTAGGTGTAAGAAGCTCAGAATACAACCTGGAAGAAATTGATGAAAGGGAAGAGATGAGTGTGCAACAGAGAGAGGACAGTGAAAGTACAAATACCTCTCTTGGGACAGGAGAGGTTACTGCAGCCTTCAGCTCTGCTGAGGTACTACTGGAAACTGAAAAAAATGATCGTGCTTCATCAGCTCCAGTTCCTGGCAGTGTTTCTGTAGACAACTCACAAAGCCTCAAGGAAGAAAAACAAGAAAATATGAGCACAGATGGCAAGTAAGTACGTTTTGTGACAAAGAAAGGAGCACTGGGGAGGGAATGGGGGAGGCAAATAAAACAGAGTGTTGTTTCATTGTGGAGCACAGAATAGAGAACTGAGAGAGGAATGAGCTTAATATGCTTAGCTTTCATTGTAGCACTCTGTGCACGGTAATTCATGAAGCTTTTCAACAAAAATGACAAAGAAGTGTTCTGCAGGGCATTCTGTTTAAGGCTCTCTTTCCTCACTACTCAAACAGCCAGACCCTTAGAAAAGCTGAACCCAGCTCTAAAATACCCAGCATACTTACTAGAGTGGTGTGCTGTGAAAAGGTTTGGACTGATTAGTCAAATGAGGATTCACAAATTCACTCTTACAGTTGGAGAAACACAGGTAGATTGGCCATTTCTGTTCTTCTGGGCACAGTTATCTATTGCTTGCATATTTGTTTTGGTTTAAATTTTTCTTTTGTCTTTTCCTTATATGTTAGCCAGTTGTCTTGACCTGTCTTGATCCATCTGCTCTCAGGAAAACAAGTTAATTCTTCCCTTTTAAAGAATAAACACATTAGTTTTCTTAACCACTCTTTTTTTCCTTCTGGTGATGCTGTACCTTTGGCCTTCAGCATGTTTGCTAAAACTACCTGACTCAGCAGGTTTCCATCATGAGTTAGTGCCTGCATGAAATAAATGTTGGTTGTCCATAGAAGTCCCATTGTGTTAATGTAATTCGCTATTTCTCTGTTCCCTGGGGCAACTAAACTGGCTACTGTTCCCAATTTAAATTGAAAGAACTATTTCAGTTATTGTACTGAAGCCAAAATGTGAGAATGCTGTAGTAGCCAAGAACTTTCACGGTAGCGTGGAGACCTTTGACTTGTATTTCAAGGGTCTGTGTTGTCAGTCCAGGGCCAAGTGGAGTTTTGCAAAAGTCTTTGGTGCTTTGTCCTGACAAATATTGTGCCAGTTGCTTGGGTGTTTCTGCACTATGGGAATCTACGAGGAGGAGGATCAGTCAAATGTTATTTTTAAGTTGTCTTGAACTTAGGACTTATCAGACCTGTGTTATTGGGCCAGTTAGGCCAATTGTCCTGGGGATGTTTCTCTCTGCCCCCCACCAACTTGTAATAGCCTTTCATGGCCTATAATCCTGGTGGGGATCATCTAGCGTGCGCTGTACTCTACCTTTAGAGTTTAGCAGTCCTTTCTTTCCTGAAATATCACAGGGATTCCAAAATGAGGACTAAGGTTTCTCTGACATTATATTTCTGGAAACCTTTTGATAATTCAGATCTTTTATAAAAGATCTAGTTACTTTGAAGAACTGCTTTTTAATCAAACCAGGGATGTGTGTAATATTCCAGCCAAACCCACTGATTTCTGTAATGACACTCTGTGGCTCTGTTTAAATAAAACAGATCAGCCTGTTGTGAATGCTTGTTGTTCAGTCCTCAGCTATGTTCAAGGGGATGGAGATAAGCAAGAGTATGGAGTACAGGACTGAGCTTTAACTTTCTTCCGACAATAATTTTGAGAGTGTATGCTCCTGTTTAGTGGTTTGTTGGACACTTACAGAATATATTGCACTGTACAAGCAACATGAGGATGGATGGTTATTGAGGAATTTACCATTTTAAATTATTCAAAGCAGATGTTTCCACTCAAGGCACCGGTTCCTGATAACTAGTACATTTGATGTGGCAAATTAATTGGAATCTTCATAATGCCAGTATTTGTAGCTGAAGAAAATACGTGTCTTAGACATGTAAGTTTGAAGTTCTAATGCTTTTTTTAAAAAGAAGTTTTAAATATGTTGGCCTTTTTCACTTACTTTTTTAAGCCAGGTACTTAATATTTCCTCCCTAAGAGAGGAGGTTTTTTTCCAGCATTTTTGCAATTCTCTTGTCCACTACTGGAGAAGAGGAGGCTGAGGGGAGACCTTATCATTCTCTACAACTACCTGAAAGGGGGTTGTGGCAACGTGGGTGTTGGTCTCTTCTCCCAAGTAACTAGTGATAGGATGAGAGGAAATGGCCTCAAGTTGCGCCAGGGGAGGTTTAGATTGGATATTAGGAAAAATTTCTTTACTGAGAGAGTGGTCAAGCATTGGAACAGGCTGCCCAGGGAGGTGGTGGAGTCGCCATCTCTGGAAGTGTTCAAAAAACGTGTGGATGTGGTGCTTCGGGACATGGTTTACGAGGCATGGTGGTGTTAGGTTAATGTTTGGACTTGATGATCTCGAAGGTCCCTTCCAACCTTAATGATTCTGTGATTCTGTGATCCGAGGACAGAAATTTTAGGCATTTGCAAATTGCTTGGTATGCAAGTAACATGTTTGATGCCTATTTGTTGTTCTCAAGGTATTTCTTGAAAGGGACGGAATTTTTCTTTCCTATTGAAAAGTCTGCACAGTTCATAGTTTATATTCAGTCTCATGCAGCTTCCTGGTATATCGTGTTGGAGACAAAATCAAGGACACGTTTTAAATGTTGGGGATGTCAGAAGTCTTCACACTAAGAACACTGTTACATGAATGATAAACCATCATCTTTGTGGCTTCACTGGAACTGAGTTGTTACTGGAAAGGGGCTTGTTCGAACTGCACGAGTAAACAAAAGGAGGGGAAAAAGGGAATGGAAAACTGGTCATCTGCTTGCACACAAGAGAGTGAAGCTGCATGCCATTTTGGTAAAATATCATAGCAGCATTTCCTCTTGTTTTAAAGAAAAAAAAAAATCTATTCTGTTGAGTACTCCAATGTTTGGCAGAGTGATTCTATTTTGTCCATCTGTGTTTGGAGAATATTGCCAGTTCTCTTGCATCGTTTCTTGTGTTTACTGAAATGAATGATACTAGCATATTTAATGTACTGTTGTGCTTTACAGAGGACTACAGACTAAGATAAGCAGTGAGCAAGCTGCATTTGAAAAAGACAGGAAGCCTAGAATTTTGGATCAAAATAAAACTGATGGTGAGTAGTTCCCACTCATTTCTAATACCTTAAAACAAGGTTGAAGAAAACTTTTCTATTCCTTTGGAAAAAAATGACAATACAGTCAACTCTGGAATTGCTATCATCAGATTATTTCCTTCATGCTTTCTCTAGTTCTGGTGTATCCTCTTTGAGATGAGGTGACAAGGATTGACTGCAGTTTTGGGTTTTTATTTTTAACATGTTTTATTACTTCCTATAGCAGTAGTCAAAGCTGCTTCGTCGGGCAGTATGGGTGGAGCAGTGCTGAGGAGAGGGAAGGCTGGTAACAGAGGCTATCTTGCCACGTGGTGTGACATGGGCACCGCACTGCAGTGGGGAAGGAGAGGCCATCAGCTGTTCTTCACTTACAAAATTAGTATGAGTTTTCTGCATGAAAATGCAAATACTTTTAAACACAAATAGAGCAAAGTGACAGGCTGATCGGAAAAGAAACGATGACATCCTGTGCATCTAATGGTTCATAATTTTTTCCGTGGATTTAGTGACATGACTGATTTATTTTACCCTTTTGTGACACTGATTTTCAGATTTATATATTAGGCCTTCCATAGTCTTTTATATTCAGTATACTTCTGTTTTTAAATCATAGCATACTGCATGAGTCCTGTTTATATGTGACATAAATTTTAACTGCCATTTTATAACATATTTGAAATGAGGAGAAACTTTATTTTTTTTCAAAATACGACTCCAAACAATTATTCCTAAAGAATTTAATTTTTATCAGACCTGCTAAACAGTTGGAAAAATAGAGTTGGAAAATTGCTGTTGTCAATATGTTTTCCAATTGTTCCCTTGTACAAATACATAAGGTGTCATAACATACAGTAACATTTGTAATGTTAAACTAAAGAAGAGAAGCCACAAAAATGTGGAACTAAATAAAAACTGCATCTAACTTAATATTGAATAGTCCTTGAAATCTTAAGTCACTGATGCCTGTATAATCAACTGAAATTCATTAGCACTTTTTTGATGATTCTAGAATAGATTTTTCTATTAAGTTGATGTATGGCACCAGTAGCCTGTTAATTAAGGAAGAATACCTGAGTTAGAATACTATTATTTGGCAATATTAGTCAAACGTAAGTATATCTTTAGCCTTTAAAAGTAAGTGTTAAGAAAATTTTAATATCAGTGAGGAGCCAGTCCTTCTAATCCATACATTGGATGCGGGTCTTTGTGATGTAATGGGGAAAGTTTAATCTTTTGGGGGTTTGTATTAATTTTGGAATCTTTCTTTGACTTAAAGATCACAGTGATACAAAACTCCTTCCAACAGCAGAAGAAGAGAAAGAACTTCTGACAGCCGAAAATAAAACAGTAGATTTTAGAGAAAATAACAAGCTTGAAGTTGACAGACTATCAAACTGCCAGGCACGTAAAAATGACATCTCAGTAAGTCATAGGAATTATCCTTACCTGATTCCAGAAAAGCAAGATCAGAAAACAGATCAAACCAGCTTGGACACAGTAAAAACTCAGGATGTTGCAATCCAGACAGGTCCATCGGATAGCAATTTGGGAAGGACTACACAGAAACAAATCATTGTTCCTCAAGGTTGTGAATCATCCCCATTCAGAGGACTGGTCCCTCAACACAACACAGATACAAACAACCCCCTTCTTCAAGTGATGCATGGAATACGAGAGGATGAAAGTACTTCAACAGAACAAAATCTTGAGAGACAAGAAGTTACCCATGAAAAAATAATTCCCATAAAAGATCAGAGTCACATTTGTATAAATGGCAGTAATTTTGCTTCACCAGAAACAACTGCAAAAACTCCAGATGGCTCTCCTGTAAAGGGTTACCCTCATTATAGACAGGACACCAAACCTAAACCCAAGCCCGCTAATGAAATTACAAGAGATTACATACCAAAAATTGGAATGACTACTTATAAAATAGTGCCTCCAAAATCCTTAGAAATAATGAAGAGCTGGGAATCAGAAATTCCATCAGATTATAAGGATCAAGAGGTATCTACTTTGGAAAACTGTCTGAAGCAGGAAGACCCCAGGGGATTCATAGTGCAAGCTGAAATTCCTCATCTTCCAAAAAGTGTGGGTCATTTACAGATTGGTTCACAAACTGAACCTGCAGCAGCAAATGATCTGCTGCACAGAGTGAACAGCATTTCTGAACGTGTTGTGACGTCTGGAGCTGAGATTACTACTGAGAGCAATCGGACAGAAATAGAGTCTTCCAAACAGCATGTCCCACTGATGCTAAGCTTAGATAATACAAATGCTTCCTCTGAGACTCAGGACAAGTCAAATACATTAAGTCCTACAACGAAGCCCAGTTCTTTTTATCTGCAGATGCAACGAAGAGCTTCGGGTCATTATGTGACATCCGCAATTGCCAGAAGTAGCATTTGTGCTCCTAATTCCATTCAAAATGAAGCTAAAAATACAGAGGTGGGAAAAAAAATCTCATCACCTGATCCATCGTCTTTGTCTTTACATAAAACAAGTACTTCATCTCCTCCAGCAAATGAAGAAAAAGTTGATGATGAAAAAAAAATTGAATCCTCCCCTTCTCCTGTTAAAAGCAATAAACCTTCAAGTTTCCCCTCCTGTCCACCAGCACCGTTGAACCTAAGAACTCTAAGAACTTTTGCAGTTCCAAAGCCATACTCCAGTTCGAGACCATCCCCTTTTGCTCTTGCTGTCTCATCTGCAGTCAAAAGGTCACAGTCGTTTAATAAGACGCGTACAATCAGTAGCCAGGCACCGAGAGAGGAATTTCCTGTTGAACTCTCCACTGCCACTTCGGCAGCTGAATTCGCCTCAGCTACCTCCGTGCCTCAAGTGAAAAACTCTTCCTTACAGACCGTAACAGGGGTGTCACAAAATAGTCTAACAGATAAGGTAATCTTTATTTCTAATATTGGTTGACTGTCGATCCACTGCCATCTAGTGTGACTAGACTAGAGGCTAGTTTGTGAACTGCTCCCTGATCAGAAAGCGCTGTATTCATACAGCATAAACACCTTGTGGTGTCTAGCAGTAGCACAGCATCATAATGAAATACAGGAATACAGCGAAAGTTAAAGGTGAACACCTCATTCACATTATTGGAAATACTTATTTATTGCCGTAACTAGCATCCCCTACTTTGAAGAATAGTAAATGGAATCATTTATACTATGTATACCTATTTTTATGTTCGTAGTGCTTATGACTTGTTCTTTATGGTTCTGTGTGTTAATTTCTTAAACGTAATTCTGCGTATTGTGATCAGTTTGGCTTCAAGTGATCATGGCACAAACACTTGAATGGGGCTATACAATTTTGCTGGCATAATTATGTGAGGAAGAAACTATGTGCTGTAGTGGAAGTGTGGCTGATCTCTGAAATCTTGAATGATGCAAACGCTGGAATGGTGGCAGTTTGAGACGCAACCTTGTACCAGGTTGCATAGTTTTCCATTTATGGCTAATTCAGATTAAAGGTTTTTGTTTTGTTTTTCCTCCCGCTTCCTCCCTTTACAGAAAGGCAGTGATGTGAATAGTGAGCAGAAGAGTCAAGCGCAGTCAGGTGCTTCCACTGCCCACCCACCCCCTGTCACTAAGAGACAAACGGCGATGACGTTCCAGCGCTCTGACCCAGAACAGATCCACCAGAGCCTGCTGGCTGCAATCCGCTCTGGAGAAGCTGCTGCCAAATTGAAAAGGGTGAGTTTTCATCATTGTATCCATAACAATGAACTCATGGTGCTTCCTTCAAAATTACCATATTGGTGCCTGACACCAGAAGCGGTGAGCGTTGGCCCAAAGTGCTGCCAGGACGTCTCTTAACAATGGGAAGGGAGGTGGGGAAGAGAGTTCAGTTTTGCAGAATAAACTGATGAATGCACACACAAAGCTTCAGATGTCCATATTTTCAAACAGTGCAAATCCAATCAGAAATCCTCCTGAAATGAATTAAAAATCTCTAAGGTATCAATTAAGTATCTCTTTGATAAAATCAGGAACATATTTAATTACTTGTTTGTGTGGTTTGAAGTGGTATGGTTTTAGACACATGCTAAGCAGCTTCACCCTTCACCCTGAAGTAGCTGCAATCTTTTGCAGCAGATAACACATAGAAGCTCTGAAGATTTTATTTTTCTATTTATTAAACTCTATCAGGTCCTTAATTCTTCTTAAATGTACTTGAAGCCTCCTGCCCTCCTGCTGCTGTTTGGTATCATTAGTAAGATATTTCTCAATGTTTTGTCAACAGTCCTGGTAGGACCATCTTCCCCCACCCTCTCGGGTTAAAACTGTGGCTTGATTTTTCTTTTCTCTCTCCTAAAACTCACCTATACGTCTCTCATTGGGGAAAACATTGCACACTTCAAAAATCTGTACTGTTTTAAATTTATCACTAGACAATGTAATGGCAGCCTCACACAAAGCTTTCTTGATCCAGCATTAGTATTTTGCATTCTGTATAGAGGAGTAATTTCTCATTGCAGAAGGTTAAAGAGATTCAGTAGGTTTTGTTTCTCTTCCCTTTCCCACTTGAAACTTGAAAGAATGAAATAATGTGTGGTGGGTGGATGTGAGGGGGTGTTTTGAAGGTTTTTTTATGGAAGTCTTTGATTCCCTAGGGTCAAAATCTCAGTGGATGGTCAGATATTAGGACAATCCATTTCATATGTAGGGTTTTGTTTCAGTGTAGCACTGTGACAGCCTCTCTGAGACTTGTGGACCTCCCGTCATGTCTACACTGAATAGGAAGATTCAGTTTCCCGGACAGGTTACAAGCATGCTCAAGTAGTTTTTGACCTTCAGTCAGTAAAAGTGGTACATAATGCACTGTAGTATTACTTTCAACTACATGTCACTAACCACAGCTACTTTAAAAACAGGATAAGATTATGCAAATGCTGTATTTAGAGTCACTTGGAGGTCAAATCTATCTGTTCTACCAGAAATATTGTTTGGATTTTGCTTGCATAGATTTTTTATTAAGGTGGTTTTTTTTTCCTCCAATGCATAATTACATTCTGAATAATATTGAACTTTATTTATTTTGCGTAGTGTGTGAACTTTGTTTTATGATTCTGTGAGAAATATGCATAGGCGTGGCTGCTGGCACAGTAGCTTATAACTGTTTTAAAAAATAAAGTTCATAATGTGCATTTCAAAATTGAAGAAGTCTATTTCTACTAGAAAAAATACAAAGAAAAACTTCATTACATAGTTATTCATTCTTTTCTAATAGAAATGTTCATAGGGTAGATTTGACCCATATAGTCTTTATCGGTCTAGGTACAAAAATGGCATGGGGAAGAAGAGGAAGATGATGATTGAAGTCCTTTTTCCCCTCCCTCTCTCTACTGTGGGCAGGAGATGCTCTTGTTTCAGTATAGTTGAGGCTGGGTGTGAGGAGAGTGCTGTACTTTTTCAGGAGAAATTGTAATAATGAAGATGCTGTAAGCATAAAGAAAAGGTGCAGCACAGAAACCTGAAACAGGCTTAAAAAGAAACCTGAAGCATACAAAAAATGCAATGAAGAACCCACTGAAATTTTGCCAAACATAAAATTGTACATGCTGTTCTCTTCACTCTCACTTACCCAGAGCACATATGCTGTGGTACAGGTATGTCTGACAGCAGAAAGAGAGGTTTTTTGGCCTATGGCAAATTTAATAAAAACATGGTCTCATTTTATGTTTCACGTGGGGAGCTGGCAGTAGTCAGACAAATGGAAAAATGGAGCGTTTTGTATCAATAACTTATTAGCACCCAAAAGTGATTTCCAGTACTGAAAGGACTTTTTAAATGCCTTCACCTCCTAGCTGCCATTATGGTGCTGTGCTCAGTAAAAGGAGTAATTTTTGATCCATTTGAATTGTGAAAGACATCTGATCCATTTGAATTGTGAAAGACATCTGTCAGGTGCTTGCTTCTCTTTTTACCTCTTACCGTACTCTCCCTTCTGTCAGCTCTGTGAGGGAATCATTAAAAAAAATAAAATGCTGGCACCACTACCCGAATTCTTTCTTTCTTTCCCCTGTTCGACTTAGTATGTTGTGAGCATGCAATGCCGAGATCTGTGGGCTTTTGTGTTGCTGGCCTTTTCTGTTCAATAGGGCCCTCAGTAATTACTAACCTAAAATGGGTCAAGTGAGGTTTCTTTTTAACCATTTTTCTCTTCAGAATGTTTTCATTGTGTTTAGTAAACTGCGTGCTGTGGTATGTGGTTCGCATGGCTGTGGAGCATCCACAGCTCCTGTTAACTCCAAAAGGAGTTGTTGGTTTATGCAGCTCCCCTGAGAATCAGGTCTTTGCTATCTAGCCTAGAAGTTATAGTTTGCTCCTGATAAAAGAAACATTACCATGGTATAAAGGATTGTTAGAGATTTTGTTAGAAATCAGCTCTATTCAATATTTAATAAGAAGTCTTTGGTTTAGTCATGTTTTTTCAAATATTTCTTTGCAAGCAGGTCTGGAGAAGGACTAAAAATTGTGCCTGTTTTGAATAGTTGTATACAGAATTTTTAGATAGAATAAAATATATTTTTAAGTAATTTCTTATATTTCCACTTCTGTAGCATATGTGTTTTGTCCAGAAGTCATACAGGAGGTCTTTTACTGCAATGAGAAAAATGCTAACTGAAGTAACAGTATTTCTGTTTCCTTGAGGTAATACTGTGTAACATACTACAGAGAGAAGAATCTGAAAAGTTAGCTTAATATTTCTTTTTTCTTTTTTTCTCTCTCTCTTCCCCCCCCCGCCTCCAGGTTGGTCCTCCATCAAACACTGTATCGGTCAATGGAAGAGCCAGGCTTACTCATTTGTATTCCACAGAAGCAAAAGCTAATCACTAGATATTATACCAAATATTTTGCACTTTACTACTGCTTCATAGGCCAATTTAATACTAACTACAAATTTTTGAAAGTGTAAATGCAAGTATATGTTAATATATTTTTGTCAATTGTTATAGGAATTTCAAGCTGGGTCCTTTGATGCCTTGGAAAGATTATTAGAATATGTAAATTATGGTAATATTTTGCCTTTTTCTCTTTATAAATCTGACTATGCTGCTAAAAAGATTTAAGAGAAGGTGCAGATGAGCTTTGCTTATGTTAGAATGAAATTCAAAGATTCTTGATTTTAGCCTTCAAGACTGAACAATATGTAGCACTACGCTGAAATTATAGATTTAAAGCAATCTAAGAATTTTAGATCATTAATTTTCAATTGTGTATTACTTTAACAAATTGTATAAATTTAAATCTACCACATGCTGCCTCCATATTACTTTGTTAAATTAAATTTGTAATTAGTAGAAAATCTTAATTATATGCAATACTTTGTTTCTCTTTAAAAAATGGATGGTTTTGTTCCTTCAGCTGAGAGTAGTTGGGATAAGTATTTTGATTTTTTTAATCTCCTTTAATTTTTTTCCTGCTAGCACACACAAAAAAAATCAGGACATAAATTATTGGAAATTTTTGTACTACTTAAAAACTTTTCTTAGTAGTAGCACTACATGACGTTTCTCATCTACTCTTTGACCACCTGTATATAGTATTTACCTAGCACTCAGATAAGCAATACTTTTGTGAACTCAATAGATTTTAAAGGAGTCAGCAGCATATAGTCCTTAGTGGTAAAATGCAAATTCCAGTTTTGATACTTAATGAAATAGAAGAAAATTTTTTTTCACTGGAAGTGTGACTAAAGAATGAATTGCTTTGGACTTATTAATGTAAAATATTTTAATCTTAAAACAGCACAATAACACACTTACAAAGCATTCTTGTGTCTGAGAGCATCTATTTATAGATTAAGTGTTAAATACCAAAATGGGAATATATATTAAAAGAAAATGCTTCATTTCATATTTTATCTATTTTCCATTTCTTGTCAAGGTTGTAAGTTTTGGGGAGAGGGGTGGAAATATGGTCACACTCATGATGAAATAGCTAGATTATGGATGCATGCAACAAGTGCTGGGGTATTTCCCATATTAAAATATTTTCTTGCTGGACTTGATTTAAATAAAAGTAATTGTATTTAGTTTGTATTCTTTAACAATATATTTATTTTGTACTTTAGAGACATTCTGTAACTCAGATTCAGAAACTGATCTATGTGTGCATTTCAAAGGGTTATTAATGGTTTGCTGCCAGGTTTTTGTGCAATAATCTCAAAGAGGTCTCATTACTTTTCTAGTACAGAGTCAATTATTGATTACAAACAACAGTGTTAATGCTGAAACCCTTCAAGGAATGTTTTAGTAAATAAAAATTCATAAAGAGAGCTGATGAACATTTGTTCACTGCGGTTCTCTCATGTTTTCTCTCCTATATCTTAGCCCCCTGTCAATGTGTCTTACCATTTCCTTCTCCAGCTTGTTCTTGCCTCCAATCAAGGGCTAATTCCAAGGGTGGGGGGAACCCACATGGTAGTTCAAAAGAACTGTTTCAGGATCTGATTGCAAAAGAACACTTCATCCTTCATTTGAAGATGGTGAGATAGAAGAGGTAGGGGTTTTTTTCTAGTTCTTATGTTCTAGATTTCACTGAATCTTGAGGGACAGACTTGAAAATTCTAACTCTCCCAAGGATTCTAGTGTCTGTGTTCATTGTGGTATTTGATGTCCGTGTTTTCAGCATTTCTATACAACGTGCTGATCTGTAACTGCCACGGCGAGGCTGCACTGCAACAGGAATCTCCTTGTTTGTACTTCAGGTGGGAGGGGGTTGCGTGTTTTTTCTGAAACCTTTGTATTCTCTGCTAAGGTGACTAAAGTTATTCCATAGGAGTAATTTAATCTCCATCTGTGGTAATACAAGTCTACATGATATTTCACTATTACAACCAAATCGGTGGAGTCCAATTATTCTGGTTGGGGGAAAAATCAAATAACCTTGCTTTGTTGTGGTTTTCTTTGGTTTTGACTACAGAACGATACTACCGTATGTTCCTTAGTCCCTTATGTTAAAAGTACATTGCCCTTTTTTGTGAACTCCTGAGGGCAAGTACCATCTTATGTAACAGATTAAAACTAAAAACACCTTGCTTGAATTTTAGGGTTTCTTGTCTTTGTAACTGAACTTACTTGAAAGTTAACTGAAACGTCTACACGCAATAGTACTGTGAAACTCTTAAATGAGATTTTCTGTTACTAGCTGGCAATATTGTTTAGCAAAACTTTCTCTTTCCCCCTTTTTCCGACATATATATGTAAGACATTTTTAAATCTTGCTAATGTATATCTAGAGACTAACTTTTTTTCTTATACTCTTGTATTAAATTCTACCAGAAAAACTCTTATTGATGAACTTGACATGTTTGTTCATTGTTCAAACAAGAAAACTTTTCTGCTCCATTAATGAGTGTTTCTAGTAACTGCCAGGCAAAGTTAGAGAGCAGTAACTTTTTGTTGTGGATGCCTTATACGAGGGCAAAAATACTACAGTTTGGGCAACCTGTACTACAGATGTTTTCCAACAGAAGGCAACTAGTACGCCATAGCACTTACAATCCCCTTGCTGCTTTTGAATGGCAGTCAAAATGTTTAGGGAAGGAAAGTCAGGTTGTTCAGCCTGGAGAAGAGAAGAGTCCAAGGAGACCTTACATAGCAGCCTTCCAGTACCAGAAGGGGGCCTACAAGAAAGCTGGAGAGGGACTTTTATGAGGGCAGGTAGTGACAGGACAAGAGGTAATGGCTTTAAACTGAAAGAGGGTAGATTTAGATTAAAGGAAGAAATTATTCACTACGAGGGTGGTGAGGCACTGGAACAGGTTGCCCAGAGAAGCTGTGGATGCCCCATCCCTGGAAGTGTTCAAGGCCAGGTTGGATGGGGCTTTGAGCAACCTGGTCTAGTGGAAGGTGTCCCTGCTTATTGCAGGAGGGTTGAACTAGATGACTTTCAAAGGTCCCTTCCAACCCAAACTATTGTATGATTGATTCTATGACAAATAGAAACAAAGAAAAGATGCTGTTGAGCAGTAGGGTGTATATCCTTGAATGTAGTGCTTGGCCCGAGTGTATCTATCAGGCATTGGATTGAATGAGTTGAGAATTGAATTGAATTGAATTACTAGATTGAAGAGTAACTGTAAATGGCTTAAGTTGATGGGTTGGTAGCCAAGCAAATAAGAGCTCTTTGTAGAAGGGAAAATGTGTCTTAATTTAATTGTCTTTGTTGATGTTAACAGGCTGTGAGGCTGAAGTCAAAATGGTGTCTTTGGACCAGAGCTGCCATCTTCACAGGCACAGCTGTTTCTGGGTACTGTGAATGGTCTGGGGTTCTGAATCTGCAATGTTCTGTTCAGCTTGGCTGCTGACTGGATAGCTGAATCTGAAATATCACTTGTTATAAATGGATTTCTTACAAAGTCTATTTCAATTATTAAAGAAAACTGTAGCAACATCAATGGAAATGCTTCACAGCTTTTAATTGAAAAGGATGCTTTCTATGTGGATTATTTTATACAATCCAATTGAAAATCACAGGTAAGGTGGAATAAGGAAAGCCTGATACATGAATGGGGATCACAAGTTAATCAGTACACTGATGACAGTGCAGTCCTGTACAGGACAAGCATTGTTCCACATTTGCAAATATAGCAATGAAAGAAAATCTCCTAGTGTTGGGAAAGGGAGAAAAGGACACTGAAACTATTAGGAAATTTTAACTACATCTGTTGGTAATTGTTATTTCAGAGTGACTGTGTATGTATAACTTAAGGCCTGGAAATAACAAGGGCTGTGTCATGTCCAACAGAACTCCAGTTGGATACACAATACAACTCCAGTGCCAAAAAGAATCCAAAAGAGTTGGATTTAGATGTAAGTTGCTACTTCCTCTGTGAACTTCTCAAACTTTGAGAATGGTCTTGTGCCAATAACAATGTGATTATGCACAAAATGCCAGTGACATTTCCTAGTTACTAGTTTGTGATTGTATAATGAGTGTATTTTTTAGTAGCTCCTTTTGTTGTGATCAGCTGCTGCATGTGAAGAACAACTGTCTTCTGTTTCAACACATGATCTGCTTGGCGATTTCTGAAGCATTAGTTTCCATGAGGGCATGGGCATTCCCAAACAATACAGAAGTTTAAGCGTAGGGTGGGAAGCTAATTCTTAGGTTCCTCCTTAGTCATTTGAATACTCCTCAGAACAACTGGTAAAATAGATGAAGAGGCTGAAGAAAACTTACCAGATTGGAAGACTAGGCATTTCTGAAGAATACAGTCTAGTGTATTTCAAGGCCAGATTCCTATATGAAATGTAAGGTGGCATTGTTTTGTTATTTGTATTAATAGTGATCCAACTCTCAGTAAAAACTGGTCATCAAGAGATGAGGGAGAGGAAGCTTCAAGATCAATGTAGTTGAACTCATCCAGAAAAAAACCACAACGTGCTGATGGACCATTCCCTTGTTCCTTCCATTGGAGAGAATAAACTGAAATATCTAAAATTGAAAGCCTTAATCTTTTGATTTGATTGGAGTGGCATGATTCTTCATGGTATACCTAACTATGCACCACATATGAATTAAGTATCATATTCCCATAGTTATTTAGTGGCAAAAAATGGAGATCGATCACAGTGTGGAATATTCAAAAGTATTTACGTAGCTATCAAACACAGATTTCATCTTATGATTTGTCCGTATTTTTATTCAGCTGTGGTATCTAGTTGCATCAGGTTATGTGAACTGTAAATCTGTAAAAGTCTCCTAGATCTCAGTTTACTGTGAGGATAAGAATTTCCAGAGTGCCAAAAAATGTTCATTAAATATCCCATCAGTCTTCAAAGTTTCAAAACTTCAAAAATAGAGCAATTGTCAGTATAGGGGGTTCTGCTTCAGCTGTTGTCATGCTCAGAGAATGTCAAAGCAATGGGGCATCAGCTTTTTATAGTTTTAAAACTTGCCTGTGGTAGAGAACAGCCAGAGGAGTAAAGGAGTTGAAGCATACAATCAGTTCGGGGCAGGAGAGAATTAAGTCCACAGAACCTGCAGTCCCAACAGCTGTTAAAGAATACACCTGGCCAACAGTGGCTATTTTCAAGTACTAGTGTACTTGGTGTACTAGTGCTGGTGTACATTAACCACTAGTGTACTTAATAATGTTTAACATATTTCTAGTTGAAAAAATAATTAATAAATAATTAATAAACTATTGTTGGACTCAGAGTTTTCTAATTTTCCCCCAGCTGTATATGTGTGTCTGCCTGTTTTGGTTACTCCCAGCCCCGTGATCCTGAGTGAGAACTAAGACATGGTAGCTACAGTCACACTCAATCTGAAGTGGTAAATAAAGCAAGGACAAATTATTTTATTTCACAGTTGCTTAAGGATTTATCAATAGCTT